TGGGGTTGATTTAGTCAGAAAACAATAAAAGGAAATTTGGCACATGGGGTAAAACGTGAGATTCCTAGAAGATGTAAATGTTACTTTCTGACCTATTCCCCATGTTAGTTGGCTTGGGCTATGGTAACGAAATACCCGACTGGGGACTAAGAGACATTTATCTCCTCCCAGTTCTGGAGGATGCAAGTCTGAGATCGAGGCGTTGGTAGGGTTGGTTCATCTTGAGGTTTCACTCCCGAGGCTGCCTTCTCCCTGTGTCCTCACCTGGTCTTTCCTCCGTCTGGTGTCCCATTATGTGTCTAGATCTCACATTTTTATAAGGGCACTTGTCAGATTGGATTAGGTTCCTCCCTGATGGCCTCATTTTAGCTTACCTCTTTAAATGCCCTATCTCCAAGTAGTCACATTCTGAGGTACTGGGGCTGAGGGTTTCAACATATCAATTTGTGGGGAAAAGAATTCAGCCCAAAACACTCTCTTTAAATATTAACATTTACCAATGCTAATTCTTTTATTTTTTTTTTTAAAAGTAACTCTTGTTAAGAGGTGCTATAATTGTGTAAAATGGGAAAAGGCCAGTGCGGTTTTAGGGTACCTTTAAATAGCAGACATCTCGGCCAGGCACAGTGGTTCATGCCTGTAATAATGGCACTTTGGGAGGCTGAGGCAGGCGGATCAGTTGAGGTCAGGAGTTCGAGACCAGCCTGGCCAACATGGTGAAACCCCTACCTCTACTAAAAATGCAAATATTAGTTGGGCGTGGTGACGTATGCCTGTAGTCCCAGGTACTCAGGAGGCTGAGGCATGAGAATCGCTTTAACCCAGGAGGCGGACATCATAGTGAGCCAAGATTGCATCACTGTATTGCAGCCTGGGTGACAGAGGGAGACTCCGTCTCAAAACAAAAGCCAAAACAAAAACAAAGAACAAATAAATGGCAGGCAGCCGTACCTTCCCTGAGGTGGGAGAAATATTAACTGCACCCCAAGTAGCCCTGTTCTCCCACATTTCCCAGCCTCTTGCTCGTAGACAAGGCCATATGACCAGTTCCAGCCAATGGGCTATGGGAGAAGTGATGAGCCCCCTTAAAGAGCACTTAAGGGCTGGTGAAAAACTCTCCAGCTATGCCCCCCTGTGCTGGAACAGCCAAAGACATTCCATTTTGAATGGACAGAGCTACAAGCTGGATGTAGCCTGGATCCCTGAGTCACCACATGGAACACAGCCATTTTGAAGTCAGCCCAGCCTCATAAAAATATTGTAAGAAACAAGCCTGTATTGGGTAAGTCACAGAGATTTGGAGTTTAATTTGTGATCATAGCAAAGCCTAATCGGTCTAGCACACTGGTTGCCAGAGGAGGTGAGCACTGAACACCGATGAAGAAGTCATGGCAAGGCATTCTTGTCTCAGACCTGCCAAGAATGTCATTGCCCTACTTTCGGCAAGAAGCCTTGTTCCCAATATAGGCTTGCAATTTGCCCTTTCCAGCTGGCTATGGTAACAGGACTAGAAAGAACACATTTGAAAAAAAATTATAGAGTTTAAATGTAAACCAAAGCCTTTGCTTTCAGAATAGCCAATGGCCCATCTTCCAAGTAGGAAATACAAATAGCTCGGTCCCTGCAGTCAGACCCATTTATTTTTTTCACCTGTAAATGATACAGCTTCCTGGCATTCTCCTCTCTTCAATGTGCCATCTTTAAGTCTTAAACCACTTAACTCCAATTGATCCTCGAGTTTGCTCCACACAAAGCTATTCTATGCTTACAGAATTGGTTGCCCCAAATGCCTCATTATCGGACCACCACCAGCTCAGATGTGGATACCTGTGGAGGGGGACTGCAAAGACTGAAATGCCCCTCACCTTCTCTTCCAAAGCCTCCTCAGCACTTTCCCTCTACTCCCAGGCCCTTAGTGCCCACAGACATCAACTCCTAGAGGTAACTATGTGTCACAAAAACATGTCCACAGGGAAGAAGTACAAATATGTACCCCATTTGTCTTTGGAGCCAGATGTCTGGAAAGCTCCCTTGACAGAAAAGCTGCCACAAATAATATATTCATTTACTACTCAGGAAATACACTCCCTTCATTGAAAAGTGATGACATGAAATTGAACCAACTCCCAGTACTGCTTTGAATTATTCTTACTGTGCCTGTAGCCCACAGAAGACCCTACAAAGAAAACAAATCCAATAACCAACAGGCTTTCAGACTCCCCCTAAAAGATAGCAGTTTGGCATTCTTTCTGAATTTACTTCAATTTATGATATGGCTCTATAGGAAATGTTTTATTGATTGAATCTAGTAAAACCCAATAGCCTAATAACTAAAGTAGATAACAAGGCTATCGAGAGGTTTGCTGCTTACTTGGGAAGTCAACTGAGAAAGACAAAGTTCCCAAAGAAAGCTGTCTTTCTCCAGCTTCAAGAGTGGGTAGGACAAAGAGCATAAGGCTTAGGAAGCTGCACAGTTTTGAAAAAGACTTAAAAATGATCCAGATGCAGTGGCTCATGCCTGTAATCCCAGCACTTTGGGAGGCTGAGGCGGGTGGATCACCTGAGATCAGGAGTTTGAGACCAGCCTGACCAACATGAAAAAGCTTCGTCTCGACTAAAAATACAGAAATTAGCCAGGTGTGGTGGCAGGCGCCTGTAATCCCAGCTACTCCGGAGGCTGAGGCAAGAGAATTGCTCGAACCCAGGAGGCAGAGGTTGCAGTGAGCCAAGATCTCGCCACTGCACCTCAGCCTGGGCAAGAGGGTGAGACTAAGTCTGAAAAAACAAATGCAAGACCTGGTCCTTGCAGGAACTTCAAAAACACCTGTTGCAATGACAACTCAATCTGCTGTTGACGTCCGCCCTCTGACCACGGCAGCTACTCTCTGCTTTCCCTGTTCTTTGAGGAAGAAACTCTGCTCGAGATCAGCTCTAATGCCAGCTCATTTGGAGACTCTGGGGTATCCTTAAGCCACCTGAGGCCCTAGTTTTCCCTTCTTCAAAAAGGCTGGGGCTGAGCCAGAGAATCTCAGGTCGCTTTCTATTCTAAAATGTTGTGATTCTCACAAAAAAACACTGTCATCAAAACTAGATACTTGTTCTTTTCCCCTGGAATCCAACGACTGAGAACATCGTACAGTGAACAGTGAGCCTCTCCACTTTCTAGCTATGGGACCCTCTAAGGCTTTGTCCCCTCACTGTCCAGGAGGAAATAAGGGTTAAAGCCAGGTGTGTATATGAAAAATGTTTTGTGAATCCTAATGAATGAAGCAGTAACTGGGACAATCTCAAGAAATCATCCAGACCCCGCCCTCCCATGCCATCTCGTCATCCCTCTTCCCCTATCCATGACCGAGGCCTACTACAAGGACAAAATCTAGAAGTGAAGTTCATAACTGTCATTCTTTGTGTGCCATTTTCAGAGTTTCCATGGAAGATCTTAATCCACCCAAATGAAAAAGGCTGATTCGTCTTAACTGCCACCTACAGTATGTATGTCAGATAGAATTTTGTAGGCACACCTGTTGCAGGTAAAATAAGGGATACTGGCCCAGAAAATGCCCCCAAATGTCCCACAATGCCATTCCCGCTTGTTTCCAGTCAGATGCTAGGTCAAGAGCTTTACATAAGTGGCTCATGCCTATAATCTCAGCACTTTGGGAGGCCAAGGCAGGCACATCGCTTGAGCCCAGGAGTTTGAGACCAGCCTGAGCAACGTGGCGAAACCCCATTTCCATGAACTACAAAGAAAATTGGCTAGGCATCGTGGTGTGCAACTGCAGTCCCAGCTACTTGGGAGGCTGAGATGGGAGGATCACTTGAATCTGGAGAGGCTGAGGCTGTAGTGATCCGTGACTGGTCCTTGCACTCCAGCCTGAGTGATAGAGCAAAAATAACTCCACATAAAAGATGGTACCTGCACTATTATTCGCAATGTACTTAGATGTTTTAAGATTTATCAGCAAAAAAAAGCAGCAGTCATAGTGAGGGAAAAGTGTATTTCACAGTCATTACAAAAGTACATATATCTACTAATGGTGACATAAATATAGTCCTTACTTATGACCAAATCATACAATTAAAAAGGACTTTCCCTCCTGGACATCACACGACGACAGTCCCATCAATTTCCATCAGTAACTACAGGGTGACCAGAATCACAGGCACAGACTGAGGAAGGCAGTCACGGTCGGACAGACAACACGCTTCGGACTTACCAAAAACAGAGTCAGATTTTCCATATAAATATAATAAAATCATAAAGAATCTAGCATTTCTCCTTTCACTCGGTTTCATAGATTTGTCAGGTGCTCACACACACACCAAATACAGTGGATGCCTTTCCTCACTCCTCCTCACCTCTCACTGGGTTTAGAATCAACCTGAGTTCAGAGTCCAGGTGACCAATGGCAATGCGGTCAGTTAGTGGCACATCTGCAGCTGTTCTTGAAGCATGCCGGGAATGAAAGGCGCGTTCTCCACCAGCTAATGGCAAGGCGGAAGCACTCCTGTTTCTTGAGGAAAGTATAATGTGAGGAAAAGGCATCAGGGGCTCCAGAAAGTTCCCAATGCACAGGTGCACGCCCTGTGAGCTTGCAGAGTAGAGCGGTTGCAGCTGGAAACCGTCGTTAGAAAAGGTACACTTCATGTCAAATGGAGAGACGGTCTTAGATGATTCTTTTCTTCTCCCTGCTTAAAAAGCTCTATTTTCTTTTTCTAGAGACAGGGTCTCACTTTGCCACCCAGGCTGGAGTGCAGTAGCATGATCTTGGCTCACTGCAGCCTCGATCTCCTGGGTTCAAGGGATCATCCCACCTCAGCGCCCTCAAGTATCTGGAACTACAGGCACATGCCACCACACCCAGCTAATTTATTTATTCTATATTTGTAGAGACAGGCTTTTGCCGTGTTGCCTGGGCTGGTCTCAAACTCCTGAGCTTTGGGCTCCCAAGGTACTAGGATTACAGGTGTGAGCCAGCACGCCTGGCCTAAAAGCTCTATTTTCAATGGTAAGTTCTGGAACCCAGTCTGAAGCTATGCAAAAAAACACCAATAGCCAAGCAGTCTGACCTCATCCTAGAATGCCCTAACACTGGAGTGATCCCTTAGGGAGGAAAGCAGCAGCTCCAGGTCTTGCCAAAGTTGGCCAAATATCCATTCTCTCCTGCTCCGTCAGAGACATGAGGGACTAAGGGACGTCCCCACTGGTGAATGACAGAATGTTTCAGAACTACCTCTCTGCCCTCTGGCAAGGCTGCCTGCCAGGGACATAAAGGCTGGCTTTGCAATTCTAGATTTGTGTTTTGGGATCCATGGACTGAGGTGGCCATCTAAGGTGGCCACAGAGGTCGTCTCTGGTCGCACCTGCACAGGTCAAAAGTTGAAGACTCCAGGCCTGTCTGTAACCAGTCTCCTACATTAACCCCTATCCAACCTGTGCTGATTCTTCTTTTGATTCTGCTCACAACCGAGCGCATCCTGCCAAGTGCCAGCTGGACACAGTCAGACAGCACGGGGCTCCACAAAACGCACACACAGGGGGCACAGACACAACACTGGAGACGCATCTTTGGTTCGATCCTTGGAGAAAGGTGTGAACACACAACGTGGACTGAGCCCTGTTTGAGGAGCTCGGCTTTCCCCAAAGAAGAAACTGGCCTGTATCTGAACAGGTTCTCTGCCAGGCAAGCCGGCTCCCTGCTTCCAGCAAACTCGCTGAGTTCTGAGCCACACTTGTTATCTGGGCAGCTTGAAATCCACATCACACAGAGGTCATGCTACCTCCTTGCCATCCGAATTATGCTCTGAATTGTCACAATCATCTTTTCTCTCTTTCGACATAACCAGCCATAACTGTGTTCTGTGCCTGCCAGAAGGCTCAGGGCTATGCCTTAAACAACAGGATGAACGCTGAACCATGGAAATCTTGCCCTGCCCATGGGCCATGCCACTCAGCACATCACGACAGACAGCTCTTTTGCCCTCCACACTGAACCCTGTCGTGAAAACATGAGTTTGGTGGAATTGCTTCTCATCTCTCCATCCAAGTTTTTAAAAATTATGTTATTTCAATTTACCAACATCACATTAAAAAAAAAATCTCTTTGGAAAAGGTAATTCAATCATTAGCATGTTTCAACCAAAAAAAAAAAAAAATCTATCAATATCTTGCTTGGGAAATGAGTGTCTCCTTCAGTCTTTCTCTTCTGTCGAGGTTCCCACTGTTTGATCTTGGTCCGAAGCTCCCCTCCGTCTTCCTCTGAGTATCCTGGGCCTACCCCCAGCTCCTGCTGGCCTTCAGGGAATCCCTGCTGTGAAAGGCAGGGCTGCTACACTCTGCAGAGGAAACGTGGCCTGGATGAATGACTGTGATGTTGTTCTCTCCCTGTGACTGTGGCCGACTGCTGTGAGAGGCACACAGGTAGCACAGTGTGAAGAAAGATCTGGTAACAGTCCATTATCTGAGTGCCCCAGAAGGCTGATGCCCCATTTTTCCCCCAAGCCCAGAAGTGGGAACTGGAAGGGGTTGGTGAGTGGTTGAGAAGAAGGAAGATCTGAAGGACTGGAATTGGCTGCCCCTGGAGCCAACCCTCCTGGTGATTCCAGCATCTCTGGGGGTCCCTAAGCGAGGTTGGGTGGTGCAGGCTTTGTGGATTCAGCTACAGGTGGGACGCTGCGTGGCAGGAACCAACGGGTCACTAAGGATGCTCCACACGAGGTCCTGGAATGTTTACACCCTGACAGATGTGCGGAGCTCTGGTCCGTTGCTGTTTTCTACGATACCCCAAATCCCGCTGGCCCAAGTTAGCACTGGGTCTTGACCCCATCGGCCATGTCGAAGGCAAGGTTCACGGAGGCTAGGGGCTGCAGTGGGGGCAGGCTGGCCTCCAGGGGCCTATCTGCGGATGGCTGCAGGCTCTGATGCCGCTTCCTTAGCATCTGTCCGATGCCCATCATGGGGAACCGGCCTCGGCTTTTCACGCAATTGGGGCTCCCCAGAGGCTGCACGGGGCCGCTGCTGGGAACTGGAGGTGGGGAACACAGGCCCTCCTCTTTAGGGGGACTGTTTTTATCTTCATGAGCAAAAGAGACCACAGTGGGATGCAAAGGAGTATGGAGAGGTGACATGCTTCCGGTCGGCAGACCCGGGGACAGTGTCCTCTCGCTGGAATTCCTGCGAGCCAGGCTCACCGGGGAGTTCAGAATTCTGTAGTGATGAGAGGGAGACAGCATTTCTATGTGGTCGTCGCGATCGACAGACTCGAAGGAGCGCACCATCTCCAGCATCAGGGGTTCTTCCTTGTGGGAGATGCCGGTGCTTCCAGGCCCCGGCTGATGGGGCTCTGGCTTCTTCACAATCCTCGGGGTCCTGGGCGGCGGGACAGGGATGAACTCCATGGAAGAAGAAGCCACACAGTTGGAATCAGAGGCTTTGCGGAAAATACTGTGGCAGCCGAAGGAATCTGCACACCAAGAAAGCGCAAAAAAATCATCAGGATGCTTGGACAGAGCTCACGGCCCTTCTCCCGCCTGCTCTGACCTCCAGCTTGACGGACACGGCTCCCTGCCAAGGTCAGAAGAAAGCAACCAACAAACGGCCTTGGCAACTTTGCAAGAAGTCACCAGCAGCGTGTCACTTTCCCCACAGAGGCCGGGCAGTCTTTCTAGGATGGAGGGACAGGGGGCTGGTGACAGGAGGATTCCAATTTGCCTCATGCTCTAGCCTAACATCCTCCCTGCTTTTGGTTGCTTAAAATTCTGGACCCTAGGCAGCGGTGGCTCACCCCTGTAATCCCAGCACTTTGGGAGGCCGAGGCTGGAAGATCACGAGGTCAAGAGATTGAGACTAGCCTGGTCAACACAGTGAAACCCCGTATCTACTAAAAACAGGAAAATTAGCTGGGTGTAGTGGTGCGCACCTGTAGTCCCAGCTACTTGGGAGGCTGAGGCAGGAGAATCACTTGAACCCGGGAGGCAGAGGTTACAGTGAGCCAAGATTGTCCCACTGCACTCCAGCCAGGGTGACAGAGCAAGACTCCATCTCAAAAAAAATATTATCCACCTGAGCCTGGGAAGTGGAGGTTGCAGTGAGCTGTGATGGCTCTGCTGCACTCCAGACTGAGTGAGAGAGTGAGACTCTGCCTCAAAAAAAAGAAAAAAATTTCTGGGCCTTGCCAAAGGATCTTGGAATCAAAAAGGTACATGTACTCAACAGCACATCCATAAAACTCCCAGAAGCACACCAAGCTCTCCTGACTGAACTCCTGCCAATCTGGACCTCGGACAGCCCACACTGGAAGGAGTGCTTCCCTTGTGACTTTTTAAAATTTTATTTATTGTGGTAAAAAACACGTAACAGAAATGTTATCGTCTTACCCGTTTTTAAGTGTGCAGTTCAGCAGTGATAAGTATATTCACACTGTTGTGGAATCAGTCTCCAGAACTGTCTTCCTGTTGCAAATCTAACACACTATATATAGCCCTGCTCTCTGAAACCCCCGGCAACCACCATTTTACTGCCTGTCTCTATGAATCCAACCACTCTAGGGACCTCATACAAGTAGAATCACACAGTATCTGCCTTTTGTGACTGGCGTAATTCACTTAGCATAATGTCCTCCAGGTTCAACTGTGTTGAAGCAAATGTCAGGATTTCCTTCCCTTTTAAGGCTCTCTCATGACTTTCAATCTGGGTGGAGCCTCACCCAATTCTGAACGGGGGTAGAACAGCATCATCCATATAGTTAAGGCAACCTGCCAAATCCCCACGGTTTCTGTCTCCGGTTGGCATAGACTAGAATCCAGGTTTGCAAACTGGGCCAGAAAAGGAAGGGGAAACCCCCTACGGGTTTAGAGATGAGGGCAATAAAGCCAAGTTGATGCGAAATGAGCTCTGTCTTAGCTTCTTTCTTCTCCCATAACATTTTATAGGCTCTGTGGAGGCCCAGCTGCAGAAGCAAGCTGCTGCCCGCTGGGATCGATTTTGGGAGCAGCTGAGGGCACTGGGAAGCCTCCCTTCCTTGCATCAATAAACACATAGGCGCCAAAATGAAACGGGCGCCGGAGACACATCAGTGGAAAGGAGTACAACTTCATTAATGGCCAAGGTCTCCAATGCTCCCGCTGCCACGTGGACACTGCTGCCCCTCCCTGATCCGCTGTGCTCTGCTCCAAGGAAAGCAGGTTGCTTTGGGCCATGTGGGGACAGTGGCCTCTCTCTGGGAGCAGCACGGGAGGCAGAAGGACAGGAGCCAGGTTCAAGTCCTGTGCAGGGACTAACTGCCCACTAGGCCTGAGTGTATCTCAGCCACAGCCCTCTCTGAACCCACTTTCATGTGTAAGGAGACTGAACTCTAGGATGTGTCTCAACCCCCTCAGTAATAAGAACCTCTCCTCTACCTCACGGCTCGGCTTCAGGACGCCCCCGGCTCCTGCGTGCCCTCTCGGCATTTCTACCATGTTAAGCCTGCGTCCAGTAAGGTCTCCTTTTGGCGTCTTTTAGCACTTGCCCCAGGGAGGGAAACACATTTGTCAGTTCTGTGATGAGCTGGGTCTGACTCAGGTGGGGGAGCTTATATATGCATCGCATCTCATCCACAGCTGCGACAGGTAGGAGCCCTTACAAGTAACTAAGACAGCCAGTGAAGATCCTCAGCAGTAAAAGATCTTGGACCTCTGCAGGCTGTAGAGCTGGCATTTGAACTCAGGTCTGAGCACGCTACTTCCATCCCAGAGCCCAGATTCAATCACATTGCAGTGTTTCACAGGGTCCTCTTTTCTAGGGAAGATGCCGAATACTACCAGGGAGATACCCGATCTCTGCTCATGCACCCCATCTCTACTCCCACCATTCTTCATCTCTGATCTCTGCTCCTGCGATGCTGTGCCTCCCAACCTCTGTTCTGATGATATCATCCACCGGATTTCTGTCTCCATAATACCACGCACCCCATCTCCGTTTTCTCAAATCCTTCCTGCACAGGTGGCTAATGCCACGCAGCTGGGTCCCAGACTGTGCTCAGGCAACCTCAGGTCCACGAATCCTGCTTTTCTGGGGCCACAGGAATTGTCTGTGCTCTAGGGCCCATACCGCCCTCCCCTGTGAAGGGTACACAGCAGACACGCAGCCCAACAGGAGTGCCCTGAGAGAGTCCCCAGAGCCGACCCACCTTTGTCGGGGAAGCTGGCTTTGGAGGCCTTCCGGTCCTTCAGCAGGGCTTTGGTGTTCTGAAGTTGTGTCATGAGCGAGGCTGAGGGCTGCTTGTGTGAGGGCAGGTTCTTGTCCAACTTCTTAGAGAATGGTCGATGAAGAAAATCCCCTCTTTTTTCTTGCTCTTTGGGCTTCTTATCCTGCAAATCGGAAGCAAACATATGCATTTAGACATGCACTGGAAGATTCTTTTTGAAAAGTCATCCAATTAGAGAAACTGCAGCTTTTCAATCCTCTATGCTGTCAACTGTGCGTTGAATAAGGGAGGAGCTGTGCTCCAGCCGACGCTCCAGGAAGCCCGTCTCCCTCTGCCTGGGCAGCGAGTGGCCTTCAATTGACCCTAGCTCCCTGGCACTGTCCTCTTTCAAGGCGTTCCAGCAAGGGCAAGGCATTCCTAGGAGGTCAATTATTCTGGAGCAAGCCCAACGAACGAAGGTGAAGTAGAGCAGGGCTTCTGGAAACCTACCGTCTGCATTCAAAGTGGAGCCCAAAGATCGTACCTCCAGTAATGGCTTTGCAAAGGTGACTGGAAACATAGCTACTTCCACCTTCATGTCAGGTTCTATTTGGAGCATTCAAGCCAAGGAGGTGCCAACACAACATGGACAACAAATCCAGAGAGCCCCGAGCGGTCCGGATGGGCTTCTGGCCCTTTCTACCCTAATCATGTGAGCACTCACTTGCGTACTTAGGACTCATGTGTAAGTAGCCTTTTTTTTTTTTTTTTTTTTTTTTTTTGGTGAGGCAGAGTCTTGTGCTGTCACCCAGAATGGGATGCAGTGGTGTCATCATATCTCACTGCAACCTTGAGTTCCTGGGCTCAGGTGATCCTCCCACCTCAGCCTCCTGAGTAGCTGGGACCACAGGTGTGCACCACCATGCCCAACTATTTTTTTAAAAAGATTTCTTGCAGGGTGCAGTGGCTCATACCTATAATCCCAGCACTTTGGGAGGCTGAGGCGGATGGATCACCTGAGGTTGGGAATTCAAGACCAGCCTGACCAACATGGAGAAACTCCGTCTCTACTAAAAATACAAAATTAGCCAGGCATGGTGGCACACGTCTGTAATCCCAGCTACTCGGGAAGCTGAGCCAAGGGAATCACTTGAACCCGGGAGGCAGAGGTTGCAGTGAACCAAGATCATGCCATTGTATTCCAGCCTGGGCAACAAGAACGAAACTCTGTCTCAAAAAAAAAAAAAAAGAGTTCTTGTAGAGATGGGGTCTCCTTATGTTGTCCAGGCTGGTTTTGAACTCCTGCCTCAAGCAACCCTCCTGTCTCAGCTTCCCAAAGTACTGGGATTACAGTTGTGAGCCAAAACGATCGGCAGCGGCCATTGTTTCGGCGTCAATCTTGCTTTTGTTGTACTAGATTATAATCCATCTGATGAGAATGAACTTGACTATTTTATATATCTTCAAGCCCACAGCCTGTGGCATAAAGCCAGATGCTTAGAGAAAGCTTAATAAATAGTTATTGAAATGTTTTTTAAAAGGGCTGGTAGAAAATGAACTGAATTAAAATTAATTCAGTTCAAGCTTCTGGGAAAGGTAATGTCACCAAGAGGCAGAAGTTCTTTTTCCAGCCCGAAAGCCTGTGTTTGGTGTTTACTGTTAAAGCAACTGCACCTCTGACCTCACCGTGGGTGAGGAGGAAAAAAAGACTTTTCTTTTTCACATTTCTGCCCTCAACTTTAAGAGCATTTGCAAACCAAGAGAGCTCATCCATTTTTCATTCATGTTTTTTTTTTTTTTTTTTTTTGAGACAGAGTTTTGCTCTTGTTACCCAGGCTGGAGTGCAATGGCGCGATCTCGGCTCACCGCAACCTCCGCCTCCCAGGTTCAAGCAATTCTCCTGCCTCAGCCTCCCAAGTAGCTGGGACTACAGGCATGCACCACCATGCCCAGCTAATTTTTGTATTTTTAGTAGAGACGGGGTTTCACCATGTTGACCAGGATGGTCTCGATCTCTTGACCTCATGATCCACCCGCCTCAGCCTCCCAAAGTGCTGGGATTACAAGCGTGAGCCACCGCGCCCGGCCTCATTCATGTTGTTGAGAAGCTTCTCAAGGAAACCTCTCTTTGCTGTTTTACAGCCCTTTCTAATATGGCTGTTCAAAGTCTTTGCAGGTTAGAGTTCATGATGTCCAGTGTTTGCGTGGGAAAGAAGACAGGGTAGCTGTGGGAAGCGAGGATGCTGAGCCGCGTCGCAAGTGCCCTGGGAGGGGTACAGCTCCCTGGCCTGCAGCTGATGTGGTTCCTCCCCAACAAAGGAGCGACAAGGGAAGACAGGAGAGACGAAGCTTCCTTGGACTCCCTCCTCAGCATCTTCACAGCTGCCACCAGCCTTTTTTGAGAACACACAGGGTGCCAGATGCTGCCCTGAGGGCACAACCCACCACAAGGCAAATTCCGCTACCTCCTTTCCACGGGAAGAAACAGACGCGGTGCTTACATAATCCACCCATGAGCCCGTGGAAACCTGGATTTTCACGGCCCTGAAGTCAATGTTGTCAATCCTTGACTTGACACCACACTCTCAGAGACTGGGGCGGGGTCAGGCGATTCCAGGGGTGGAAAGGCCCAGAGGCAGGGGCGTGCCACTGTCCTAGGTTCCCCCAGTGGGATCCAAATGTTCCAGAGAAAGGCACAGGCTCCAGGGTGTGATCTGGAATGCCACGAAGGGGACTGTGTGCGCCAGGTCACCTCGGTTGAAGCCAGCAAAGGACAATCACCATTTTCCACAGCTTCCCTCTCCCTTTGTGTCCATGACACACCAACAGGCCACCTTCTCTAAGGCAAAGAACAAGCTTTCGCACACGTGCTCCCACACCCAGAGACACATACCCATCCAGCATCAAAGGCAATGTTACTGGCTTTCCTGAAAAATCTGGCAGAATCTCCTTTTGCTTGGTTCCCTCTTTCACTATGTTTATGCAAAAGTCACCAGCTCTGCCTGCTGACACCTTCTACAGGAAAAAGCAGTCAAATGTACCTTTGTCATACATTTCCAAACGCGGTATCTGGTCGAAAGGACAACACTGCAGTTCTTTCCGTGTGAGGATTGCTTTTTAAATCGATCAGCAAACACTTTTTCAGGCTGCTCTGTGGCCCCCAAGCCTTGAGAGCTGCTGGTGGCTGTCTAGGTTCATTTTCATTCCTTTAGTGTGTGTGTGTGTGTGTGTGTGTGTGTGTGTGTGTGTGTGTGTCTGTCTGTCTGTGTGTTTTGAGATGGAGTCTTGCTTTGTTGCCCAGGCTGGAGTGCAGTGGCGCGATCTCAGCTCACTACAACCTCTGCCTCCCGGGTTCAAGCAATTCTCCTGCCTCAGCCTCCCGAGTAGCTGGGATTACAGATGTGCCCTACTACGCCCAGCTAATTTTTGTATTTTTAGTAGAGACGGGGTTTCACCATGTTTGTCAGGCTGGTCTTGAACTCCTGAAGTCACGATCCGCCTGCCTCGGCCTCCCAAAGTGCTGGGATTCCAGGCATGAGCCACCATACCCAGCCCGTTTTCATTCCTTTCTAACCCTCCTTGGGTTATCAAAAGCTTCATGATCAAAATGAAAACTTCTGGGGACTACTATCACTACCCAGATAGAGTCCATGGACACCCAGTGGTGTGTAATGCGTGGGAGTTTGGTGTGGAAAGAGAACAAGGTTGGCCTGAAAGACCAAATTTCTCCTGTTGCTGACAAGGCGGGTATTTGGCAATGAGCAGAAAGCTGCAATGGAGGCAGAAAAAAAGAAAAATACACCCCCAGACAGAAAGTTCCAGGAAATCCTGCTAAGGCCACCCTTGTTAAACTTTATCCCAAGATCTACACCCTGGTATGTCCCCAAGAACCCCCAGAACATCCTTCTTCAGCAGAGAGTCAGGGATTTCATAGTAACCAGTTTCTAAAGGGAAATCAAGAATTCACCCTTAGCTGCTCCCTACTGGGGATGAACCTCAGAGTCACTCCAAGCAGAAGGGTCAACAGCCCAGAGAAAGCAAGCTTATTTATAACCAGCCAATCTCCCTGCCCTCCAAGCACATGTCACCAAATGCAACCAATCACCCAAATTAGACTTTTTCATTTGCATGGCCTATTTCTCCAAAAGAAATTTCCTAGGGAGCAGGATGCTACATTGCCTTACATAACGGAAACGGTTCTTCAGGGGGACTAATCACATCCCCCTTCCACAAGCAAGCTCTGCACGCGGCAAGGCTGCCACCTGCAGAGATGCCTGGCTTCCCTCCGATGCTCCAGCACCCACGTGGACTTGAGGGTGGGCGATGGGATTCAAGCTCTCGGTTCGAAGTCCGTCTTCTTGCACCTTCATGGCACAGTTCCAAATCCCCCGAGGCAGATCAGAGAAAAGGCCACATGAGGCCCCAGAGGCAAGCTGTACACTAAACAGCTTCTTGTTCTCTATCCGCTGTTTCCACCCACTGCAGATGTGCATGGATATTTACAAAGTGGGACATTTTGAAAACACGGCCCCATGAACAATCGTTTACCCAAGACCCTTAATGTTGTGTATTGTCCCATGGAGGAGATGGAGATGCCACAGGAGGGAGAAACCCATCCTCAGCCTCTGAGGCCTGAGCTCCAGAGAGCTGGTCCCTTCGGAGTCTTCCCTGTTGGCTTCGCAGCTGGGGTATAATGGCCACTGAAGAATGACCACAGGCTTCTGTGTTCCAAAGACCCACACGGCCCACTTCTTTCCCAGCTTGGCTGCCGTAGGTGCTGCACCTGAGAATCCCAGCCATGGTCATAGCTTGGCAGTCCAGAAGTCTGGAATCCGTTCCTTGCTCTCTCCGGAACGTGAGAGAGCATGTTACAGTTGGGTGACCTTGGACAATTCACTTCTCCTTGAGGGAGGTGTTTCCCCATATGTAACCAAAAGTGTGGATCCTTCCCAGCTCTGGGAGGATAACAATGAGCACAGATCACACCTGTTTTATCTCCTGAACAGCAAATGCATGCATTTAACAGGGACCAATGCTTGCTTCGAATCCTCACCACCCCAGGCCGGAGAATGGATGGCTGCCTGGGAAACCTGCCTCTTCCCGCATGTGGCAGAGGAACCCTGGGAGCTGAGGCAAGTTTTCTTTGAGTAACTCTATCAAGTCCAGCTCCACATGGGCTTTTTTGAAGCTTTCCTTCCCTCTGATGATTAGTAAGCCTCTCCAAGCTGTTTGGTGTGTCAGAACCAAGTGCTGACTGCTACCACCTGGGATGGCCCAGGGACCAGATGTCATGGCTGGTTGGTTTTAGTTCCTTGTTGCCCATCACATAAGGGGAAACCTGATTTTGCTGCAGAAAAACCTACAATTAAATTGATAATAACAAGACTTTGGGCTGGACATTGCGGCTCACGCCTGGAATCCCAGCACTTTAGGAGGCCAAGGCAGGCAGATCACTTGAGGTCAAGAGTTTGAGACCAGCCTGGCCAATATGGCGAAACCCCATCTCTACTAAACATACAACAATTAGCTGGGCATAGTGGCATGTGCCTGTGGTCCCAGCTACTCAGGAGGTTGAGACAGGAGAATAGCTTGAACTTGGAAAGCGGAGGTTGCAGTGAGCCAAGATCACACCACTGTACTCCAGCCTGGATGATAGAGTGAGACTCCATCTCAAAAAAAAAAAGAGGGCTTCGTTCATAAATTAGGCCATCCAGCCAGGAAGCTCTAGATAGCTGCAAACCCCACTTCTCATCCTGGTGGAAACAGAAATGCATAGCAGGGTGTACAGCTGTAGCAACACAATAAAGACGATAAAAAACAGTCAACTGCACATAGCGAGAACCAATGTGCTCTGAAGGGATTCTGCTAAACCCACTCACAACAGGATTCTGCGTGTTTTAATTCTGGATAAGGATAGGGCTGGCAGAGCCTGTGCCCTGGGCAGAGACTGACCAACACTTAGGATCATATATGATGGGTAATTTCATACGCCAACTTGGCTAGGCCAGTTGCTTGGTCAAACACCAGTCTAGATGATTCTGTGAATGTGTTTTTAAAGAGGTGATTAACAGACTGGGATCAGTGGCTCACGCCTGTAATCCCAGCACTTTGGGACACCGAGGTGGGTGGATGGCCTGTGGTCAGCAGTTCGAGACCAGCCTGGCCAACATGGTGAAATCCCATCTCTACTAAAAATACTAAAGCTAGCCAGGCATTGTGGCAGGCACCTGTAATCCCAGCTACTTGGGAGGCTGAGGCATGAGAATCGCTTTAACCTGGGAGGCAGAGGTTGCAGTGAGCCAAGATCACGCCATTGCACTCCAGCCTGGGCGACAAGAGTGAAACTCCATCTCAATAAATAAACAAAGATGTGATTAACATTTAAATCAGTAGACTTTAAGTAGATTATCCTCCATAATGTGGGTGGGTGTCATCCGATCAGTCAAAGGCCTTAAGAAAAAAAGAATGAGGTCTTCTGGCAAAAGAAATTCTGCCTCTAGTTGGGCTTTGGACTTGAAGCTGCAACATCAGCTCATCCAGCCTGCTGGTCTGCCCTGCAGATTTCAGACTTGCCAAACCCCACAATTAAGTCTCAGTCCCGGTCTCTGTCTCTGCGTACTCTATTGGTTCTGTTTCTCTGGAGAACCCCGACGAATACATAATAATTCTCCAAGTTCTTACCTGCACAGCATGGAATTCAAGATCTCTCGTCCAGGTGTCCAGAGAGGCCTGTGAAAAGGAACATCCTTCAACAACGCAAGAATCTGCACCTGTTATTTTTTTCCCTAAACTCTTCCCCGGCACCTCTGCAGCTCTGGTTAGGAATTATTCCTTTCAGTTTTCATAGACAGAAAGCAAATCCTGAAACTTCCCTGAAAGTAGGCAGCAGATGTCCTAACTCGTGTGCTGAATAGATTTTCTAGGTAAACACTTTATTAAACTCGAAGGCGCCGTATGGAGGGGTGCTCTAATGAGAAGTCAGCAGCTCCATGTTTTCTCAAACAGCAAAGACACCCACAGAAATGGCACTCAGATCAAGAAACAGAACACAGCCAGCATCGGGAGGGTGCTCCTTGCCACCCCATGTCCTCTCCCAGGCACTCTGTCCCCAAAAGTAATGACACATCACTTGTCCCCAAAAGTAATGACACTTCACTTCTTTTTTTTTTTTTTTTTTTTTGAGTTGGAGTCTCACTCTGTTGCCCAGGCTGGAGTGCAATAGCACAACCTTGGCTCACTGCAATCTCCACCTCCTGGGTTTAAGCAATCCTCCTGCCTCAGCCTCCCGAGTAGCTGGGATTACAGGTGCACGCCACCAATCCAGGCTCATTTTTGTATTTTTAGTAGAGACAGGTTTTCGCCATGTTGGCCAGGCTGGTCTTAAACTCCTGACCTCAAGTGATCCACCCACCTTGGCCTCACAAAATGCTGGGATTACAGGTGTGAGCCACTGGGCCCACCCAAGTAACTGCACTTCTGATGTCTAACAGCACAGACTGCTGGATCTGATTCTGAACTGTATTTTATAAAGTTGCATAGATTTCGAAATAAGACACAAAGTGAACATTTTAATATTTGCCTTTAAACGTTTCATCCCTGTTGTGGGTTGAATTGTACTCTCCCAAAATTCAAAGGTTACAGTCTAACCTCAGGACCTCAGAATTTGACCTTATTTGGAGAGAGAGTCTTTACAGAGGTAATCAAGTTAAAATGAGGTTATTAGGGTGAGCCCTAATGCAGTATGACTGGTGTCCTTTAAAAATGTGGAAATTTGGGCTGGGCGGGGTGACGCACATCTGTAATCCCAGCACCTTGGGAGTCTGAGGCAAGCAGATGGCTTGAGCCAGGAGTTCGAGACCAGCCTGGACAACACGGTGAACCCCCCTCTCTACAAAAAATTAGCTGAGCATAATGGTGCATGTCTGTAGTTCCAGCTATTAGGCAGGCTGAGGTGGGAGGCTCATCTGAGGTGGGGAGGTCAAGGCTGAAATGAGATGTGATTGTGCCACTGCACTCCAGCTTGGGCTGGAAACAAAGAAAGAAAAAGGAAGGAAAAACGGGAAGGGAGGGGAGAAAAAGAGAAAGAAAGGAGGGAGGAAGGGAGGGAAGGAAGGAAAAAAAGGAAGAAAGAAAAGGAAGGAAGGGAGGGAGGGCAAGAAGAGAGAAAGAAAGGAGAGAGGGAATGAAGGAAAAGAAAAAAAGAGAGAGGGAAGGAAGGAAGTAAAGGAAAGAAATGAAGGAAGGAAGGAAAGGAAGAAAGGAAGGAAGGAAGAAAAGGAAGGAAGAAAGAAAGCAAAGAAAGCGAGAGAGGAAGGAAGGGAGGGAGGGAGGGGAAAGAAAAGAGAGAAAAAGGAGGGAGGGAGGGAATCTTTCGGGCACACACGATAGGTGTTCTCAGATGAGAAATAGTCTCTGCCTTCGATAGGAAAAAGAGAGAGAAAATGGTCAAGTGGTATAATCACTGCTTGGTAACCCCAAGAGGGAAGTTTTTGCAACTTAATTCAGCTCCTTTGTCTCCTAGGAGAAAACGAACTGGAATCAAAAGGAAGAAAGAGGCCACTGCTTCCACTCAGTGCCCGGACGCGGCTTGATGACATCCCTGGAGACACGAGCCCTGGGCCACACCCCGGTATGCACACAACCTGAAACCTCTCCACTATTCCCTGTGCCCATTCAACTCCACCCCTGCCCTGGGGTGGCTTCTCCCAGGCCCACCGAGGATGGAAAAGCCCCATTTTGTGAGACTCTGGTCAGGGCCCATTTGATCTTTCCATTTGCTTATTGAGCAAATATTTATTGAGCACCTACTACATGCCAGGCATCGTGTGGCCTCTGGGAATATTGTGAGGAGCAAAAGGGACTCAGACTCTACTCTTCTGGAACTCACAGCCCAGAGGGAGAAATGTTAATCAAACAACCCAGAAACAAACAAACAGCAAGTGGGCCTGGCCCTAGGATGTGGAATGCGGCAGGCAGATGGGGTAAGAGATCAGGGAACAGCAGGGACCCATGGGGAGGTGACCTTGCTCTGGGATCTGAAGACACTGAGGTTTAGCAAAGAGGGGCGGGGAGAACATTCTGGAACAGGGAGCAGCCTTTGCACAGCCCCCACAGGCAGAGAGAGCGCAGCAAGCCCAAAGGCTGTGGACTGAGCACAGGGCGGACGCAGCGCTGTGTGTGGGGGGGGGTGCCGTGGGGCTGGGGGACAAGGCAGGAGAAGCCAGCTAGGGCTGAACCACACAGGGCAACAGGGCACGGAGTCTGCCTGGCAGGTGAAGGAAGCCTCCAAAGGTTTTAAGCAGGAAAGTGACATGATGCGGTGTGAGGGTGAAAAGCTCGCTCTGTAGGTCAGGCAGGAGGGAGTGGTGGGCCACCACCCCAGAAGCAAGAGGATCGGTTAGGAGGGCATAGCCGAGGTCCAGGAGAGAGTGATGAGGCTGGGACCAGGTGTGGGGAGGGAGGCGGAGAGAGGGCAGGGGTTGGAGGGTTTCGCAGTCAGATTGGTAGAACTTGGTGATGGGCTGGCTCCGGGAGTAACAGGGAGTCAAAGACAAGGACTTGGGTTTCTTCCCTGCACTGTGGGGAGGAAGGGGCTGCCATGCATAGAGAGGGGACGTAGGGGCTGGGGAGAGTCTTGTTCAGAGTGTGCTAGATTTGAGACCCCTTCATTCATGCAAGAAGGGGTTAGTAAGCAACTGGCCAGAGGGTTCTAGAGTTCAGGGGGCACCTGGCTCTCCGCACACCTGGGCTTTCGGCTTAGCTCCTGCCATCAAGACCCACCTTCCAAAGGGCTTGTCTCCACCCTCATCTTCCCCGTGCCCCACAGCCTGTCTTGAGGAAGGGGGCATGCAGCCTGGGGTCCAGGCTAAGCCCCACCATTCCTCCCCAGCCCTGAGCATCCTTCCGTCAAGCTCATGTTCTCTCCCTTCACTGCAGCGTCACTTATGGAGAGGTGGATGCTGACTTCACTTCCCCTCTCCCCACCCCCCAAAACCATGCCATCTCTCTTCTGCCTTTGGCACTTCATGAAGCTGTTCTGTCTAACATCCTCAGGACAACTAGCGGCTCAGTCAACACCGCTGACCATTTCACAGGTGACCTTTCCTCTGTTCCTGAAGTCCCCCTGGCATCACTGACTCCTGGCTGCTTGCCTCCTGCCCGGCCACCCCCAGCCCTTGTCTTTGTCAGTTTCTCTTCTCCCTCTGCCCTAGGGTCTGTCTGAAATGGAGACCCATGCGATTGCCCACCTCAATGCTGGGGGCGGGTCCCTCTCCTGAGCTCATGTCACATTCGCACTTGGGGCCCTGCAGGGGGGCCCTCCCTGTCATGGTGTCATGACAGCTGGGCCCTCCCTGGACACCTGCTTAGCTGGCTGCCCAGGAGTCCAGCGTGGGCCTCGGTAGCCACCCTGCCTCACTGCAGCCCTGTGTGCAAGACAAGCCCAGAGAAGATCCTTCCAGAGCAATGTGAGCCGCTCATGAGATCAGGATGAAAACTTCATGTCAGAAAAAGAAAGAGGAGAGAGGCCAGGCCCAGTGACCTTATGGGGGCATAAACAAAGGATTCCTTTTTGATCCCTTCTCAAATGAAAAAACTTCTGGGTGATATGGTTTGGCTGTGTCCCCACCCACATCTCACCTTGAATTGTAATAATACCCGTGTGTTAAGGGCGGGGCTGGGTGCAGATAATTGAATCATGGGGCCAGTTTCCCCATACTGTTCTCATTGGAGTAAGTCTCACAAGATCTGATGGTTTTATGAAGGGAGTTCCCCTGTACATGCTCTCTCTAGCCTGCCACCACGTAAGATGTGACTTTGCTCCTCATTCACCTTCCACCATGATTTTGAGGCCTCCCCAGCCATGTGGAACTGTGAGTCTATTAAACCTCTTTCCTTTATAAATGAACCAGTCTCAGGTATGTCTTTATTAGCAGTGTAGAACAGACTAATAGACCTGGGTGTCCCAGGAGAGAGGTTCCTGTGGCAAGGACACTCAGGACATGGAAGGGGCTCCAGAGGGGAAAGGGAAGGGGGTTCCCAGGAAAATTACTGAGAAAGAAGAACTCACTTGGCAAAAGGTAGATGAGGGGCCCTGAGCTGGCACCCCACCCCTGACCCTCTCCCTCGATCTGGAATTCACAGGCACAGTCTCCTAACAAACATGGGTGTGGGATCCAAATTTAAGACAATTTGGCACAGGTGCCTAGTTTTTATTCTGAAATAAAAGAGCTGTGGTCTTTTTCTCTCAGGTATGTCCCAGGTCATATCAGGTCACCAGGGACAGCTGGCCAGGAAAGCCTGCTTCATCCCAAACTTTCCTGTTCCTCGCTCACTTTCTTCTGATGCCACGTGTTACACTCGGCTCTATTTTTAAGCATCTCATTCTTTCCTAGCATTTGCATTTTTCCCTTTTATTCTTAGTTGATGCATAATAATTATACATCTATTTTATGGGACAGAGAGTGATATTTCCATCCATGTATTCAATATGTAATGATCGAATCAGGGCGATCAGCACATCTATTACCTCAAATATTTATCATTTCTTTGTGTTACGAATGTTCAAAATCCTCTTTTAGCTTTTTGAATATATACAGTACGTTACTCTATGCTCCTGTGACTGGTTAATAGGGTGACAGTCACTGATCCATCGAGATGTCTTATTTAAAGGGGAACCTGTGGGCGATCTTAGTGTTATGGCCGTGAGGTAAGAACCAGATGCCAGGTATAGTTTCATGATAGTCACCTCCAAGTGTTATGGGCCTGGAGCAAGAAGGGTAACACGCCTGAGTGGGATGATGATTTCTCGGAGCTTGGTAGGTTAAGAGACTAAAGTCTGGTAGGGGATATCCATGTTGGTGAGAAATTTCTTGACTTGGATGTGCTATGTCCGGTGAACGACTATAAGCGCTGTGTAATGTTAAGAAGGCTTAATACGGTCGATATCCATGTGGAAAAGGACTAGATAGTGTGTCTGGTACCAGTATATGTGTTATAGTTGACAAATATGCCAGTAATTATTGTTCACTGTAGTCACCCTACAGTGCCACAGAACACGAGGACTTATTCCTTCCGTCTAGCCGTAATTTCGTGTCCGTCAAGCAACCCCTCTCTACCCGCCCTTCCCCCTGCCATTCCAAGCCTCTAACAACCACAGTTTTACTCTGAACTTCTATGAGATCCATTTTTGCTAGTTTCGCTCATAGATGAGTGAAACACTGAGCATCTCATTTTCATTTTGGGAGATCCTGAAAGTGGTTTTCAACTTTGGCTGCTCATTGGAACATCCAGGGAGCTTTAAAAAACTACTAATACCCGAGTCTCCCCTCCTCAGATGCAATGGAATTGGTCTGAGGTGCGGCCTGGGCATCCAGATGTTTAAATGCCCCCGGTGACTTTAACACGCAGCCACAGCCACAGCTGAGAACCACGGTTCAGACGCCGCGATGCTGGTTCCGCTGTAAACCATTTCTCAAGGGCTCAGTTACGAGCATAAGTCTGTGTCTTTTGCTACTTCAGTGTCCCACAGTAATTGGCTTCTTTTCCAATTACTGCAAATGGAAATCCACACTTCCTAAGAGACCCTGGGGTTTGCTTTGGGGGTCACTCACCTCGTAGGACTCCTTGGGGGCCCTGTACTTTTCTATCTGGTAGAGCCGGGTCTTGTAGCAGAGGCTGTCCTGGATGTCAGATTTCTACCAGAGGAGAAAGGAAAAAGCACAGCTCAACTCTCAGAAATAGAAATGTCCATTAAGCAGTCATTAATTTTTAAACCAGCACCAAGAGAATGCAGGAAATATGTGGCAGGCCAGTAAATTGCAACACGAAGTCTCACCCCAGGATGGCCTGCAGGCAGGATGCGGCGTCAGGAGAGCCTGGGCACAGAGTCAGGCCACCTACTTGTGTTACTATTGCGGCCAGCAAAGGGCAGGTGACCCTGGGTAAATTGCTGCCCCTTGGAAGGCCTCAGTTCTTTTATCTGTGCTATAAGACTACTCAGAAACATAAACGCAGAAAGCAAGAAAATGAGCTGGAAAGAATAACTTATTTTATTTTTTATTTTTATTTGTTTACTTATTTTTTAGATGGAGTCTCACTGTCACCCAGGCTGGAGTGCAGTGGTATGATCACAGTCCACTGCAACCTCCATCTCCCAGGTTCAAGCAATTCTCCTGCCTCAGCCTCCTGAGTAGCTGGGATTACAGCTGCACACAACCACACCCAGCTAATTTTTTGTATTTTTAGTAGTGACAGGGTTTTACCATGTTAGCCAAGTTGGTCTCAAACTCCTGACCTCGTGATCCGCCTGCCTCAGCCTCCCAAAGTGTTGGGATTACAGGTGTGAGCCACCTTGCCTGGCCAACTTACTTTATTGAACCACTGCATAGAGCATGGATCTTGCTTGTTTGCTTTATTTTAAAACAGCACACACACACACACACACACACACACACACACACACACACAGCTCCCTGCCACCACCACCCAAATGAAAGCCACAACAATTCATAATATAACTCAAAGAATAAGATAAACAACTGCACCTGAGCTGAGGTAGGTGCAATCCTGTCTGGAAATGGGTAAAATAAAATCATGGATTAATTAATTAATCAACCAATAAACAGTTAATGAATGCCCTTACAGGCTCTCTATCTTAAAATACACGCTTCTTCGTTTTAAAAAGAGGAAACCAAGAGAGAAGGGAAGAAATGACAATGAAGAGATAACATTTTACTTTTTAGTTCACTAGTTTGGGCTTCAAGATTATACACGGGGTGTAAATAATTGGTTGATAAGATTAATTACCGGGACGGTACATACAGTACAATTAAATTAGCCATGCGTGGAAATTACTGAGCAGACCCACTGTAGTTGTCTGGAGGGACTAATGTATTCTAGTTAAAAACAGCCACTCACCCAGAGTATGGATTCTCAGACTAGGCAAGCCCTATGATTTAAGCATTAAATGTGAAACAGACATCATAAAACTCACAACCGGTCTGAGAATCCACACTCTAGGCGAGCAAGTGTTTCCAACTAGAGTAAATTAGTCATCACAGACAACTTGTTCAGGAATAAGGCAAAGAAGTCCACTCTCACCAATTCTATTCAACATAATACTGCAAGTCCTACCCAGCACACTTAGGCAAGAGAAAGAAAGAAAGAAAAGGCATCCTTGGGAAGAGCAGCTAATGAATGCTGGGATTAATACCTAGGTGATGGGTTGGTCCGTGCAGCAAACCACCAGAGCAGATGTTTACCTATGTAACAAACCTGCACGTTCTAAACATGGACCCTGGAACTTAGAAGTTGAAGAAAAAATAAAAATAAAATATTTTGGAAATTGTTAAAATAAATAAAAGGAATCAAAATTGGAAAAGATGTTCAATTTTCCCTGTTTGCAGACAGATGATCTTATATATAGAAAACCCTAGAGATGTTACCAAAAAACTGTTTCAATTACTAAACAAATTTAGTAAAGTTGCTGAATACAAAATCAATATACAAAAATCAATAGTGTTTCCATATACTAATAACAAACTATTCAAATATGAAATCAAGAAAGCAATGCCACTTACAATAGCCATAAAAATATCAAATGCTTAGGAATAAATGTATCCAAGGAAGTGAAAGATGTGTACACTGAAAACTGTAAAGCATTGATGAAAGAAACCGAAGAAGACACAAGTAAATGAAAAGATTCCATGTTCATGGATTGGAAGAATTAATATGATTAATGTGATTAAAATGTCCATACTATCCTGAGCAATCTATGGATTCAATGGAATCCCTATAAAAATTTCAATGATGTTTTTCACGGAAATGAAAAAAAAATCCTAAAATTTGTATGAAACCACAAAAGACCCTGAATAGCCAAAGTAATTTTAAACAATAAAGTCAAAGCTGAGGTATCACTCTACTTGACTTCAAAACATACCATAAAGCTATAGGAACCAAAACAGCATGATACTGGCATAAAAACAGAGACACATAGACCAGCGGAACAGAAAAGAGAGCCTAAACATAAATCCATGCACATATGGTCAATTAGTTTTTAACAAAGCTACCAAGAACATACAACGGGGAAAGGAGATCCTCTTAAATAAATGGTGTTAGAAAATTGGGTATCCACAGAGAATGAAATCAGACCCCATCTCACACCATCCGCAAAAGTCAACTCAAAATGAGTTAAAGACTTAAACGTAAGACCCTAAACTGTAAAACTACTAAAAGACAACCTATGGAAAAAGTTCCATTACACTGGTCTGGACAATGATTTTTTTGTACGTGACTCCGAAAGCACAGGCAACAAAAGCACAAATGGAATTACATCAAACTCAAAAGCTCTGCACAACAAAGGAAATAATCAACAGAGTAAAGAGACCTATGGAATGGGATAAAATATTTGTAAACCACACATCTGACAAAGAACATGTGAAGAATGCAAACAACTCAATAGCCAGAAAACAACCCAATTAAAAAATGCACATAGGTTCTGGAGACATTTCTCAAAAGAAGACATAGAAATGGCCAATAGGAGCCAGGCGCAGTGGCTCATGCCTGTAATTCCAGCACTTTGGGAGGCCGAGGTGGGCAGATCACAAGGCCAAGAGATCGAGACCATCCCGGCCAAACAGCGAAACCCTGTCTCTACTAAAAATACAAAACTTAGCCAGGCATGGTGGCGCACTCCTGTGGTCCCAGCTACTCAGGAGGCTGAGGCAGGAGAATCCCTTGAACCTGGGAGGCAGAGGTTGCAGTGAGCTGAGATCGTGCTGCTGCACTCCAGCCTAGTGACAGAACGAGATTCCATCTCAAAAAAAAAAAAAAGAAAGAAAGAAATGGCCAATAGCTATGTTCAGCATCACCAATCATAATGGAAGTGCAAATTAAAGCCACAATGAGGTACTGCCTCACACCTGTAAGAATGGCTTTTATCATAAAGATGGAAGATACCACATGTTGGCAAGGATATGAAGACGGAAACTTTGCATACTGACGGTGAGAATGTAAATTAGTACAACCATTATGGAAATTAGTATGGTTCCTCAAAAAATTAAAAGTAGAACTACCACATGATCCAGCAATTCCACTTTTGGGTCTATATCCAAAGGAAATGAAATCAATATACTGAAGACACATATGCACCCCCCCATGTTCAATGCACCATTATTCACAATAGCCAAGATATGGCTAATGTGTCCATCAATGGATGAATGAATAAAGTGTGTAGGACCCGGTGCGGTGGCTCACGCCTGTAATCCCAGCACTTTGGGAGGCCGAGGTGGGTGGATCATGAGGTCAAGAGTTCGAGACCAGCCTAGCCAATATGGTGAAACCCTGTCTCTACTAAAAAAAAAAAAAATGTAAAAATTAGCTGGGCATGGTGGTGGGTGTCCATAGTCACAGCTACTCAGCAGGCTGAGGCAGAAGAATTGCTTGAACCGGGAAACTGAGGTTTCACTGAGCTGAGATTGTGCCACTGCACTCCAGCCTGGGTGACAGAGCAAGACTCCGTCTCAAAAAACAAAAAAGAAAGTGTGCATATATATATGTATATATATAATGTATATATAATGTACATATATATAATGAAATACTATTCAACCTTCAAAGAAAAATTCTGTCGTTTTTGACAATATGGATGAACCTAGAGGACATTATGCTAAGTGAAATAAGCCAGGCACAGAAAGACAAAGAGTGCATGATCTCACTTATACCTGGAATCTAGAAAATATAGGTCATAGAAGTAGAGAGTAGAATAATTGTTACCAGGGGCTTAAGGGAGTGGAGGGAAGTGGACAGAAGAGATATTGGTCAAAAGACAGAAAATTTCAGTTAAACGGGGAAAATTATTCAAGGCAGTATTTAACAATGTGGTGACTATAGTTAATAATAGTGTATTCTATTCTTGTAAATTGCTAAAAGAGTAGATTTTCAATGTTCTCATCACAAATAAATAATAAATTGGTGCAGTTATGCATATGTTATTTAGCTTGATTTAGCCATTCCACAAACATGTATATTTCAAAGCATCATGTTGTACAAGATAAATACATATAATGTTTTCAATCAATTAAACAGATAAATTTAATTGAAAACGACCCCAAAATCTTTTCCCGTTAGAATGACACCAGCTGTTTCCAGAGAATGTTCTTAGAAGACAAAGCCACGCTCTGCTTTGCAACACTTGCAGCCTTGATGCCGGGAAAAGCAGACAGGCAGAAACGCAGCAGCTGACGACACACCCAGGCACATCAGGACACAGCCTAAGAGCTTCAGGCCAGGCGGATCGCTCACACCTGTAATCCCAGCACTCTGGGATGCCAAGACTGGCGGATTGCTTGAGCCCAGGAGTTCAAGACCAGCCTGGGCAACATGGTGAAACCCCATCTCTACAAAAAAATAAAATTAGCCTCAACTTCCCAGGCGCAATGGATCCTCCTGCCTCAGCCTCTTGAGTAACTGGGACTACAGTAAGATCACTTGAGCCCGGGAAGCTGAGGCTGCAGTCAGCCGTGGCTGTGCCACTGCACTCCAGCCTGGGTGACAGAGTAAGACTCTTTTTGTTTTGTTTTTAAAAGACAAAAAGGCTTCAGACAAAATATCTCTCTTCTTTGGCATGAGCTATGTAATTAAGAAGAGCATGACTGACCAAAGCTTGTATCTCTAAATGTGGACGTAGCCATAGGAAAGTTTTTTAAATCCTAAAACCCCTCCATTTAATTTGGTCAGCAGCCAAAGAACTAGTTCCACCAAAAGAAGAACGTTTGGGGCCGGGCGCGGTGGCTCACGCCTGTAATCCCAACACTTTGGGAGGCTGAGGCAGGTGGATCACGAGGTCAGGAGTTCAAGACCAGCCTGGCCAAGATGGTAAAACTCCATCTCTACTAAAAAAACAAAAATTAGCCGGGCGTGGTGGCAGGCACCTGTAAACCCAGCTACTCAGGAAGCTGAGACAGAAGAATCACTTGAACCTGGGAGGTGGAGGTTGTAGTGAGATGAGACAGAGCCACTGCACTCCGTCTCAAAATACAAAGATGAATGTTTGAAACTGTTAACTTACTTGGAAAGTAACAATGTCATTCTCTAATAAGTGAAATCATCAACCTTATAATATAGGTCGTTTCATGAAAACACATTTGAATAAGTTTTGAACAGTATTCATCATCTGAAAAAGAAAATCAGGGCATGAACCCTCTTTTCTTCCTTTTATCTGAAGACCATTTAAATCCTTAACTTTTATCCCCTATAGCATGATGGTGTCCAAATGGTATGACCCTGATCCCTTATGTGTGAAAAACTTCTAAGTAGGCACCTACAATATATGCATATTTATAAATTATAAGCATGTAACATTGTACGAATATATTGTGTACACTATAAGATAGATAATAAATAGAAATTTTAAAGGATGAGAAAGAAGCTTGAGGTTGGGCATGGTGGCTCACACCTGTACTCCCAGCATTTTGGGAGGCCAAGGTAGGCAGCTCACTTGAGCTCAGGAGTTCGAGACCGGCCTGGCAATGTGGCAAAACCCCACCTCTACCAAAAATACAAAAATTAGCTGGGCACAGTGGTGCATGCCTGTAGTCTTAGTTACTCGGGAAGCTGAGACAGGAGAATCGCTTGAACCCAGGAAGCAGAGGTTACAGTGAGCTGAGATCATGCCACTGCACTCCAGCCTGGGTGACAGAGAGAGCCCTCATCTCAAAATTAAAAAAAAAAAAAAAAAAAGAGGGCTGAGTGCTTTGGCTCATGCCCATAATCCCAGAACTTTGGGAGGCTGAGGTGGGAAGATCACTTGAAGTTTGGTGTTTGAGAGCAGCCTGGCCAACAAGGCGATACTCCTTCTCTAATAAAAATACAAAAATTAGCCAAGCATGTTGGCACGTGGCTGCGATCCCAGCTACTCGGGAGGCTGAGGCAGGTGAATCACTTGAACCCAGGAGGCAGAGGTTGCGGTGAGCTGAGATCGTACCACTGCACTCCAGCCTGGCTGACAGAGCGAGACTCTGTCAAAAAAAAAAAAAAAAGCTGTCTCAAAAAAAAAATGTTTTTAAAGAGAAATGAGAAACAGCTTCAAATCTAGTACGTCTTTTATGTTCTTCATGATGACAGGACAGAGAACTGCTGTGTGATACAAGAGATTTTCTTAATCTCTCCTTATCATATAATAAAATAAAATAAATAATATATTACATGTTGAAAGCACTTTCTGGATTTGACATCTCTTCTTCAGCAGCTTTCTATGAGCAAGGCAGCCACAGTGACACCATCTGTGAAATCTAACTCAAAGCTATGACTCTGTCCCCATCAGAGAGGTGCCACCCCATCACACACAACACGTTTTTCCTCCCCATAAAACATTGTTAAAGCCTTTTATTTCTTCTCATGTAGATTTTTCCCTTGGTGGTTTACACACACACACATACACACACACACACACACACACACACACACAGGAGTTCTGTGGATAATTTCCTGCTGAAGCAAAATCTAGCCAATATTCTGAGCTAAATCAGCTTAGAAACATCTACACTTTCATCCAAATGTTTAACCAACCTCCCATAGAGCCTCTTCATATGTTCAGCAATGTTTTCTAGACAGCTCCCAAATCAATTTGCTAACACCAACCACCTTGTCCTCTGGGTATTAATTTGGTCATCTCCACCAGGCCAGGGAGATTATCATTTCCCCAACTGCAGGTAGAGTTTCCTCTTAACTCTAATACAGAAACCTCAAAAGGGTTTCTAAGCCTACTGCCTAGTGCAATTTGGTGGCATATTGGGCTATCACATGACTTCAAATAGCACGTGCTCTGGATGGCAAATGTCTTCCTAACAGTGACAATTCCACGCCATCAGATGTCAAGGTGCAAGAGGTGGCCCTTCACAAAAGCGAAGGCTCAAATTTCAGATAGGCTTCCTGTTCTGAATTTCTTCAGCTGACTCCTTGTTAGAGCTGGTCAGCACCCACCATTCCAAGTAAAAGCATGAGCTGCTGTATGAAGAATCCATATTGTCTTGGATCCGATTTTCCTGCCTCAGCTGCCCAAGCAGCTGGGACTACAGGCACCTGCCACCATGCCCAGCCAATTTTTGTATTTTTAGTAAAGACAGGGTTTCACCATGTTGACCAAGTTGGTCACAAATTCCTGACCTCAGTGACTTCAGGTGATCAACCGCCTCAGCCTCCCAAAGTGCTGGGATTACAGGTGTGAGCCACCACACCTGGCCTGTGGGATTCTTTTTAAGCCATTGTCCATTTGGAGAGAGACGATTTGGTCACAACCAAGGCACATAAATTCCCTTACTCAGGCACACAGAAACTGCGTGTGACATAAATGATGAAGGGACAAGGTGTCAGGGTCCCACCAGCCACCCGACACTGTGGAACCGCCACATGTACCTGGCAAGTGACACTGGACACTTGGACTTTCTGACACCCAGGCCGAGGGCAGGTGCCATAGTCAGGCCAGAGAAGTCCAATTTTGTTCTCATTTTCTGAAGAAGTTAAACCTAAATAGTGGCTTTCTCACGTATAATACGATATTTTAGAGACAAACACCTGAGAGGCACTGCTACCTGAGTTTTATGACCAGAAAAGCCTCCAACGCCTCCAACATGGGGAACCCAAAGAGCTAAGAGGCAGCAGAACGACAACAATTTAAAAAGGCAACAGAGAAGCTGAAGGAGAAAGAGGCTTGAACCCCCCACCCCAATTCTGCCCAGGGCTTAACTCAGTGGGAGGACATTTGAAAACCATCGCAGATAAAAGGCACTCCCTGAGAAGCAGGTTTAGCTACCACTCCAACCCACATTCAGCAAACTCAGCCTCACAGTAGATTAAATTAGCAACTTGGATCAAGTGTCAGCACCTGAGAAACACTTTGGCTGTAGGAGCTCTTTTTCCCACGGAGAGCAGAGGTGATCGCCTCTAGGGTCGCACTTACCCCTGACAAGTAGCGCTCCAGTTTCTTGTTTAGGAGGAAGTAGATGGCCAGGATGTGGCAGGCGCGGTTGGAGAGCACAGTGTTGATCACGTCGCTGTTCTTGTAACCCAGCTTCTCGGTCATGTGCAGCACAACACTCGGGCTCAGGTCTTCCAGGGAGATCCTGCCAGGTGCAGAGAGAGAGGACCAGTCACCTCTGCACATCACGGAGAGGCCCACGCCAGCCCCCTGTGCACAGTCAGCTTCATTCATTCATTCATTTACTTGATGTTTTATTTTGAAAATGTTCATGTATTCAGAAAAGGGGGGGAACAGTACAATCGCTTTATGTACGCCATCATCTGGATGTACCAGTGAGCACTGTGCCATACTTACATTTTTTTTTCTGAAGTATTTAAAATCACAAACATCATGACATTTTTTAAAAATTGTACTTTAAGGTCTGGGGTACATGCGCACCTCCCGCAGGGTTGTTGCATAGGTACACACGTGCCATGGTGGTTTGCAGTCTCCATCCCACCCCTGCCCCCGCCGTCACCTACATCAGGCATTTCTCCCAGTGTTTTCCCTCCCCAGCCTCCCTGCCCGCTGTTGTCCATTCCTTAGCTCCCCAACCCCCAACAGATGTGATGTTCCCCTCCCTGGAATACTATGCAGCCATACAAAACAACGAGTTCGTGTCCTTTGTAGGAACATGGATGAATCTGGAAACCATCATTCTCAGCAAACTCACACAAGAACAGAAAACCAACCACCACATGTTCTCACTCACAGGCGGGTGTCAAACAATGAGAAAACGTGGGCACAGGGAGGGGAACATTATGACTTTTTACCACTTAACACTTCAGTGTGCACCTTCAAAAATCAGAGATGTCCTCTGCAGAACCACAAAACCATCAACATACCCAATAAAATTTTAACAATCACTTAATATCATCTAATACTCAGATTATATTCAAATCCCCCAAGTTTTTCCCTAAATTTCTTTATGATCACACATTCTTTCCTTTAAATGTATTTTTGCCCAGGCATGGTGGCTCACACCTGTAATCTCAGCACTTTGGGAGGTCGAGGCAGGAGGATCACCTGAGGTCAGGAGTTTGAGACCAGCTTGACCAATATGATGAAACCCTGGTCTCTACTAGAATATAAAAATTTGCTGGATGTGGTGGCACATGCCCGTAATCCCAGCTACTCAAGAGGGTGAGGCAGGAGAATCACTTGAACCCAGGAGGCAGAGGTTGCAGTGCGTGGAGATTGCGCCATTGCACTCCAGCCTGGGCAACAAGAGCAAAACTGTCTCTCAAAAAAAAGAGAAAAAATTTATTTATTGCCTTGGACAGAAGCCATCCTGACTCTGGTTTTGGGGAGGAAAAGTAAGGTATCCAGGAACTAGCCTGATCATGTTTAAAGGAACAGAAAGAGCTCACAAGTTCACACATGGGGGATCCAGGGCTCAGCTGCAAAGTGGGGTGCTCTCAGAGGAAGACAGGTTAAAGCTACTTCACAGGGGTACTATGAAAATAAACTCTTTGGGATAAAATGGTAAAGAAATACCGGGCTTCATTTATTTACCCATTCATTTATTCACCCTCTCAGTGGGGAAGAAAGAACGTAAATTCCCTTAGTCATCCTGATAGTCCTATGAGTAGGTGCTAGCATTATCCCAACTTTACAGATAAAAAAACCGAAGCTCACAGCAATGCAGTATCTTGCCCAGAGTCACACAGGCAGGAAGTAGCAGCCCTAGAATTAACAACTGGCAGCCTGGCTCTGTGTCTAGATGCTCACGGCCTCCCAAATAAACAGACACATCCAATGGCTGCTGAGAACGAGAAATCAGGCGGAGGGCTCTAAGGGAGTGTGTTTGTGTTGGTCGTGAGGCTGTGTCAAAAGAACATTCTAAATTCCTTAAGAGTGATGCAAACAGTGCACTCGGGGCCGAAGGCAAGCTCATCTGGCTGGAGAGCCGCTAGCCTCCGTGTCAAGGAGTCTGAAGACATTTTAGATGGAACCTCAGAACCATAATGCCCAGAGAAACCACACAGTGTAGCCCCATCATCGTAAAGATGAGGAGACTTTGCAAGTTCTGTTGGAAGAAGAGAGCTTGCCAGTTCACACGGCTGGTTGGCAGGGGCACCGAGAGCAGAATGAGGTCTCCTGACCGTCACCTGCCACTGGTCAATCGCTGGAACCTACATCAGTTCTCCCTCCTCTACATTTGCCTAAGCGCTGTCCCTAAAAACAAACAAAATCACACCCAACAAACTATGAGATCAGCCTTCCTCGCTCCTGTTTGCACGAAATTACACATTCTAGACAGGTGGAAGAGGGATTGGCATGATTACTGATATTAATAATGTATTTGTTTTTAAAATAACTATTTGAGGTCTACCAAGTCAACACAGAGGGAACAGTGGTTTGGAAATACCTGGGAATCCCAATGTGGGTGTGGCTCTACCCCAGCCAATCAGACCACAGCCACTCTCACACAGCCCCACCCCCTGCCAAGAGCAGGGCACCCCCAGAGGGCATGAGGTGTCCTGGAAGAAAGGTCAGCAGCGTGGAAAGGAGGGACATGCTCAGGGGCAGACACCCCATCTCTGCCTTTTATGTCCAGTATGTTCAAAAACAAGCTCTGAGCTGGGTGCAGCGGCTCACGCCTGTAATCCCAGTGCTTTGGGAGGATGAGGCAGGCAGATCATGAGGTCAGGAGTTTGAGACCAGCCCGGCCAACTAGCCAGATGTGGTAGCACAAGCCTGTAGTCCCAGCTACTCGGGAGGCTGAGGTGGAAGAATTGCTTGAACCTGGAAGGCAGAGGTGGCAGTGAGCCAGCCAAGACCATGACATTGCACTCCAGCCTGGGTGACAGAGTGAGACGCTATCTCAAAAAAAAAAAAAAACTGCCAAAATGTAAATGGCCAACTGACTCTGGACTGAGAGGAATAGTTTAAACATTTTCCAATAAACAACGGATAAATTTGGTGCTCTCCAGTACCCGTTATGGAATCTGTATTATGGCTGCATGTTTGGATGACACAGAGAATGGTACAATGTTCCAGAATACTAGCTATAATTGAATTGAGCCAATTCACATGCGATCCGTTTTGATACCATGGACCTAATTTGCTCTAATTCTGTCCTGTATTGCCTATAACCTCCTCCCCTCCCACCAGTTCCAAAGCTAACTATAAGGGTGGAGAGACTGTCCAGGCCCCCGCAGAGAGACAGGAAGAGGCAGAAAGGCTGGCTCTGTACAAATGTCTGAAACCCAGCACTTTAGAAGGCTGAGGCAGGGAGAATGCTTGGGGCCAGGAGTTTAAGACCAGCCCAGGCAACATAGCAAAACCCCCATCTCTGCAACAAAAAAGGGATGGTAGTGCATGCCTGTAATGCCTCTACTACAGAAGCTGGGGCGGGACGATCACTCGAGCCCAGGAGTTCTAGGTTACAGTGAGCTGGGATTGTGCCACTGCACTCCAGCCTAAGCTACGAAGCAAGAACCTGCCTAAAAAAAAAAAAAAAAAAGAAGTCTGCACCTGGATGAGGAGGGGAGCTGGGCACCCAGCAAACATCTACTGACTCACTGGCATAAACATTTATTTATAAAAAATTTACTTCCAAAGACGTTTTCCCTCTTTGCTTTTGGAGATCAACTGGGAGGCTGAAATGACTTCATAGGAGAAGGCTTTATGTAAGAGTGATACAAAATATGACACCTTCATTTTCCTTACTTTCCCAAAAGGAAAATATTGACAACGCTTAAAAGACATCTGGGGCTACGTATGTCAGGAAACTATAAAACATACTTTATAAAGAAAATATCCCCTTCTCTGCTTGTATGTTCTCACTCCCTTTATCTACCTTCCAGTAAAACCAGAAAAATAATCATAAAAAATACATTTCTTAGTCTTAAAGATAAAGGTTTTTCAAAATAAACATTGTAAATCACATGTACCTCCTCCAACATCTTAGAAGTCTGGTTTCAGGCCAAGCACAGAGGCTCATGCCTGTAATCCCAGCATTTTGGGAGGCTGCAGCCGGCAGATCGATTGAGGCCGGGAGTTTAAGACCAGCCTGGGCAACATGGTGAAACCCCGTCTCTACTAAAAATACAAAATTAGCCAGGCAGGGTGGCACAGGCCTGTAATCCCAGCTTCTCAGGAGGCTGAGACAGGAGAATCGCTTCAACTTGGGAGGTGGAGTTGCAGTGATCTGAGGTCACACCTCTGCACTCCAGCCCGGGTGACAGAGTGAGACTCTGTTTCAAAAAGAAGAAGAATTCTGGTTCCATTACTTAAAAACCAAACACTGATTTGCCTCTAGTGTAAAATGAGCAATGGGCCTTCCATAAACAGAAGACACTGAGCGCTGTTTTCCGTAGTGAGCAAGGAGACCTCAACCAGCTAACTGGGTTCATGTGGAGCCCTTATGCTTCTGACCAAGTCCAAATGCAAAAACCATCACACTAATCTGGCAACAACAGGAGTTTGAATTTAGGTGTTAATCTATCAAAGCCTGTCTGCAACCCCCGGGAAAGCTACGGAACGAGATGCCCGTCTTGTAATTCTTCGTGAATGAAGATACAGCCAACAAGGAGGGGAAACAGCGTCTTTCTAAGCCCAGCTCCACTTCCTTCCACAGCTGCCGCATTGAGTGGATTGATGATGCTCATTTATTCAGTGATTACATGAGCTTAATGACTCACGTGGCCACCACCAAGGCCCCCGCCTTTAACAGAAAGTGTACCTGCGTGCTGCTTTCCATCATGAGCACGGGTAATGAGGCAAGGCCCCTTCAGCTTTGCTCTCTGCCTCGCTTCAGGGTAGTATTTCTGGTGTCTGTTTCAGATCCTGGCCCACATTGAGCTGTTATTGGAAAACAGCAATCTATTTCCAGGTTCCCTTGGTAACCTAAGTCACCTAGACTTTGTTTAAATTACCTCCCATGAGCCAAATGCTAGAATTCTAGATGGCAACGGAGTGAAACCACCCCCTCTCTGGGCACAGTGAGTATAAATTTGGCACTGTAGTGTGGATGCACACTCCCACGTCCCTTTAAAGTTTTTCTAGAACTTCCATCCCAAGCAGAGCCCTGCCTGCCCATCTTCTTTGAAGAACTCAGCATTTCAGCTTTCATAAGGCTTGGCGGGTGTTTCTAGACCTTCCTAGGCATTGAAAACAAGACCACAGAGGACACCCCTTTCTCTGCCCTTTCAGTCCCCCCTCTGCCCTCCTGGTCAGCGATTCTCTTGTCTTTAGCCAAGCTTGGTCAAATGTGCAAGCCGCCCTAGGACTGAAGGATGAAGGAAGGTGGAAGGTACTGAACCCATGTGGTCTCCTCGTTCGCTCGAAATCAGTCAAAATAAGGGCCCTCATTCCCTTGCTCAGGTTAGTTAGAAATAGACAGATGAGTAGAAAAAACATACAAGGAAATGTTTTTGGCCGGGCACAGTGGCTCAAGCCTGCAATCCCAGCACCTTGAGAGGTGGGAGGATCACTTGAGCCCATGAGTTTGAGACCAGCCTGGGCAACATGGCAAAACCCCGTCTCTGCAGAAAAATAGAAAAATTTGCCTGACATGCTGGCTCATGCCTCTGATCGCAGCTACTCAGGAGGCTGAGGTGGGAGAATCACTTGAGTTCAGGAGGTGGAGGCTACAGCAAGCCATGATCACACCACGGCACTCCAGCCTGGGTGACAGAGTGAGGCCCTGTCTCAAAAAAGAAAAAAAAGAGAGAAATGTTTTCCAATCTGTAGTTAGCGCACCAACATGGAGGAGCGTGGGCTGTCACCAGGAGCCGGTCAGTGCTCCTATGCTGCGGATTCCTGTGTGCAAGCTTTGCTTAAAGAGCCTTCCTCATGGAAACTGATAAAGTCTTTGAGGAAAGTCCACAGGGATACCCGGCCTGAGACGAATGACTCCTAGTGCCTTTCCTTCCTGCCTCCCACATTTTAAGGCAGGGGACTTAGGGCTGAAATAAACATCACGAACAAGGCAGAAGAAGGCATCTAAGGGAGGTTTGGAAAGGGAGGGGTAATCCCATGTGATTCTGTCTGATGTTGGCAGGTGGGCTCATGAGTGGATCACACACACGAAAACACACTCACACAAAGACTGGCCGGGTGCATTGGCTCACACAGGAAATCTCAGCGCTTTGGGAGGCCGAGGCAGGTGGATCACTTGAGGTCAGGAGTTCAAGACCAGCCTGGGCAACATGGTAAAACCCCATCTCTACTGAAAATACAAAAGTATCGGGGCATGGTGGCACATGCCTGTTATCTCATCTACTTCGGAGGCTGAGACAGGAGAAACACTTGAACCCAGAAGGGCAGAGAGGGCAGTGAGCCAAGATTATGCCACTGCACTCCAGCCTCGGTGACAGAGCCAGACTATGTGTCAAAAAAAAAAAAGAAGAAGAAGAAGAAGAAGCCGGGTGCAGTGGCTCATGCCGGTAATCCCAACACTTTGGGAGGCAGAGGTGGGGGGATCACAAGGTCAAGAGATCGAGACCATCATGGCCAACATGGTGAAACCCCATCTATATACTACAAATACAAAATTAGCTGGGTGTGGTGGTGCACGCCTGTAGTCCCAGCCACCTGGGAGGCTGAGGCAGGAGAATCGCTTGAACGCAGGAGATGGAGGTTTCAGTGAGCAGAGATTGTGCCACTGCACTCCAGCCTGGGTGACAGAGCAAGACTCCGTCTCAAAAACAAAACAGAGATATACATACACACACTCACCCAGATACACACATACAAATTTACACACAGACACACAACATATAACACACACACAGACACAACACCCATGCATAAGGAGACCCAAGCAGACATAGACTCTCTGTCTCTTTTTCTCTTTGTCTGTCACACACACACACACACACACACACACACACACACACACACACACTGGGGCCACAGCTTGTCTCAACAGTCCCTTTGTGAACTAGAAAGAGGCCCCCCTTGGAAAGCCACAGGCCCTCAAAGGCTAGATGTCAGCCTCCACTCGCCTCTCTGCCAGGTGCCCCCAAAGGGCACACAGCACAACAGCACACGGCCCTGTCTCCGTTTCCTCTTGTGGACGTGTGGGGGTGGGTGTTAGGGAAAGGGGAGACAGCCGAGAGAGAATGCGGCTTTTCCTTCCATGACGGACAGCGTTCTGTCTGCAACTGCTCAGGGCTCCTAGGACAGGCCCCATCTCGCCCGAGGAGTCCCTCTGGGTGCACGCAATTACCTGTTAGGATAGGTGACATTACAGGGCACTTTTCCTGTGTAATTCTCATTAAGCCAGCGATTCGCCAGTGCCTGCTGAATATTTGGCCTCTTCACAGGATCTGGTTCCAGGAGAGAGCGCAGGAAACTGATGGCACCTGAAAGACATTCAGGAAGGGACACACGCATGTTACAGGCTGGACACAGATACCAGGGAAAGTTGCCATCACAGGGAACTGACTCACCACCTCACCTGCCCATCCTGAGCCACTGCTGGGGGGATCTCTCCTCTGGGTCTCCAGGGAGGGTTCCGATTCAATGATTCGTAGAGCCTGGCTTCACCCTCCTTTAGACAGGAGGGGTGTTGAAAATCTCATTGCCCCCCCCCGCCACCTCTTTTAAAAAGACACACCACGGCCAGGCGTAGTAATCATGCCTGTAATCCCAGTACTTTGGGAGGCTGAGTTGGGTGGATTACCCGAAGTCAGGAGTTCGAGACCAGCCTGACCAACATGGAGAAACCCTGTCTCTACTAAAAATACAAAAAATTAGCTTGGCATGGTAGCACATGCCTATAATCCCAACTAGTTGGGAGGCTGAGGCAGAAGAATGTCTTGAACCTGGGAGGCAGAGGTTGTGGTGAGCTGAGATCGCACCACTGCACTCCAGCCTGGGCATCAAGAGTGAAACTTTGACGCCCAGGAAAAAAAAAAAAAAAAAAAAAGACATACCACGTATCCAAAGAATTTAAGTTCTCTGTCCAAGGGAAGCAACTGGTACATGATAAAGAGAGAACTAGTTTGGGTCTCTCCATTTCCTGTGCTTCCCAATACCACCTGTGGTCTTTTCCTGTTGCTTATAGATGAGCCAAAGAGATGTTCTATCTACAGGCTTGCAGGAAACAAAGAAAATAAACAGAAGATGCCTCCTCAAAAGGTAGGTTTTCGAGCACTCACAGGGACGCCAGAAGTGTAGAGACTTTCTGTGCTAGACCTGCCAACTGGGGACCACAGGACACTCAGAGTCTCAAGGGGCCAGAGGGGTCCTGCTTTCTGATCCTTTCCTTTAAAGCCATTCTGCATGGCCGCCCACCTCTTCCCCAAACTCTGTGAATTGATGATGCCACACCCAGGCTGCACAGAGCCCACGCCCATCCAGCCCAGCTCAGCCAACGAGGCTGGCAAGACACCAGAGCGCCACACGTTTTGTTAAAGTGTTAAGAAACCTCCACATTAGTGACTCCGATTTTAAAATCCAAGCTTGTGTAAAAAGTTCTAGTGAGGACCACACTGTGAACCCATGACCACTGATGGGTCACTCCTTTTGCACTGTCTCTTAAAAGGAACCAGCTGCTGCCAGGCGTAGTGGCTCACGCCTGTAATCCCAACGCTTTGGGAAGACAAGGTGGGTGGATCACGAGGTCAGGAGTTCAAGATCAGCCTGGCCAACATGGTGAAACCCCGTATCTACTAAAAATACCGAAAATTAGCTGGATGTGGTGGCACGCACCTGTAATCCCAGCTACTCTGGAGGCTGAGGCAGGAGAATCGCTTGAACCCAGGAAGCAGAGGTTGTGGTGAACAGAGATCATGCCATGGCACTCAAGCCTAGGCGACAGAGCAAGACTCCGTCTCAAAAAAAGAAGGAAGGGGCTGCTTAGATGGACGGTATGCTAATAAATTTGTCTTTCTTTTTCAAGCCTCTAGAAGTTCACTGTATCACATTAGTCATGCTGAGCACAGTGTGTAAGAAAAGGATATAAGAAACTATTGAGAAACCTATAAAATCCCTACAACCCCTTTTCCTACCATCCCAGGCAAAAATAATGTTTTAAATGCCCTGGGTTTGCTTTCATTTCACAAACATTTACAGAGCACTTGTTCATCCAAACACTCAACATAAGAAGCTCATTCATCTCTAAGCAGAATATTTGCATCCTTTAAGATTGGAACACTGGAAACAACTGGATGACAGGTAAAAATACATTTATGGTACACATGGAGCCTTCATTTTGTATTTATTTTATTTATTTATCTTGCATTTTTTGGAGACAGAGTCTCACACCATTGCCCAGGCTGGAGTACAGTGGCATGATCATGGCTCACTTCAGCCTTGATCTCTCTGGCTCAGGTGACCTTCCCACCTCAGCCTCCAAAGTAGGTGAGACTACAGGCATGCACCATCATGCCTGGCTAATTTTTTGATTTTTTTGGTAGAGATGGGGTTTTGCCATGCTGCCCAGACTGGTCTCAAACTCCTGAGCTCAAGTGATTCTCCTGCCTCAGCCTCCCAAAGTGCTGAGATTAAGGATGTGAGCCACCACACCCAGCTCATGAAGGCTTTTCTAAGTCTACAAAATTGTGCAGCAGGAGAATATACGCATACCCACGTATGGGTAAAGAACGTCAGGGATGACTTCAAAATGCAGACGATTTGTCTTGCTTGAGTTGCGGGACTGTGATGTTTTCTTGTCCTTATTTTACAAAGAATTGCTATAATGTTTTTCCAAGAAATATAAAGAATTCTTTGGCCAGGCACCGTGGCTCACGCCTGTAATCCCAGCACTCTGGGAGCCTGAGGCAGGCAGATCACGAGGTCAGGAGCTGGAGACCAGCCTGGCCAACATGGTGAAATCCCATCTACTGAAAATACAAAAATTATCCAGGCGTGGTGGTGGGTGCCTGTAGTCCCAGCTACTTAGGAGGTTTAGGCAGGAGAACTGCTTGAACCCGGGAGGCCGAGGTTGCAGTAAGCCAAGACCATGCTACTGCACTCCAGCCTGGGTGACAGAGCAAGAATCCATCTCAAAAAAAAAAAAAGAAAAAAGAATTCTTTTATGTAGCTTTGTACTTCATTTCCAACATACCAAATAGTAGATCCCAGAGAACAATGTGTGATTGATCCCCCAATTTTTCTATCTTTCTCATCGAAGCTATTTTTCAGTTTTCTAAGGTAATCAATCTTTGCAAGGAGAAGTCACAAAATGTCTTACTTTCTCAAAGGCTTTAAGTTGTCATTTTAACATTGTTCTTTAGGAAATGCTGGGACTTTTGTCAACCCATTTTCTGCAGGGTAAAAATGAGGCCATCAAAAAACGGGCCAGTTGTGATGCCAGAATCAACTCAAGAGACACAATCTTTGCTAGGTTATGCAGCTAGGTCATCCTCCATGGTCAGCCCACCTCCAGGGCGGGTTCCCATAATGTTGAAGAGGTTATCAGATCATCTCCCTTTAACAATAGTGGGTAGCCACTACTAGGTATCTACCCAAAGGAAAATAAGTCATTATATGAAAAAGACACTTGCACACACGTTTAGAGCAGCACAATTCACAACTGCAAAAATATGCAACCAGCCCAAATGCCCATCAATCAACAAGTGGATAAAAAAGATGACATATATAGATATGTATATTTATATGTGTGTGTATATATATGTGTATGTGTGTGTGTGTGTGTGTGTGTGTGTGTGTGTACATATACCATGGAATACTGCTCAGCCATAAAAAGGCAAAATAATGGCGTGCTTCTCAGCCATAAAAAGGAATGAAATAATGGCGTGATACTCAGCCATAAAAAAGGAACAAAATAATGGCATTTGCAGCAACCTGGATGGACTGGAGGCCATTATTCTAAGTGAAGTAACCCAGGGATGGAAAACCAAACATGGTATGTTCTCACTTATAAGTGGGAGCTAAGCTATGAGGGCGCAAAGGCATAAGAATGCTACAGTGGACTTTGGGGACTTGGAGGGAAGAGTAGGAGGGGTGAGGGATAGAAGACTACACATTGGGCATAGTATAAACTGCTTGGGTGATGACTGCACCAAAATCTCAGAAATCACCGCTAAAAAACTTATCAATGTAACCAAAAACCACCTGTTCCCCCAAAACGTACTAAAATTTTGAAAAAAGGAAAATCTAGGCGCAGTGGCTTAAGCCTGTACCAGCACTTTGGGAGGCCGAGGCAGGTGGATCACCTGAGGTCGGGAGTTCGAGACCAGCCTGACCAACATGGCAAAACCCTGTCTCTACTAAAAATACAAAAATTAACCAGGCATGGTGGCATGTGCCTGTAATCCCAGCTACTTGGAAGGCTGAGGTGGTAGAATTGCTTGAACCTGGGAAGCAGAGGTTGTCATGAGCTGAGATCGTGCTGCTGCACTCCAGCCTTCTAGCCTGAGTAACAGAGCAAGATTCCATCTCAAAAAAAAAAAAAAAAAAAAAAAAAAAAAAAAAAAAAAAAAAAAAAACAGTGGGTAGAAATACATGCATGGAGGCCACAAGGTACATTTACTATTTACTGTAAGTGTTATCACTGGGTACACAGCTAAAACTTTCCAACAATGTACTTCAAAAAAAATTTTTTTTTTAACTTTTATTTTAGGTTTGGAGGTACATGTGCAGGCTTGTTATATAGGTAAAGTTGTGTCACGGGGGTTTATTGTACAGATTATTTCATCACCCTGGTACTAAGCCTAGTACCTAATAGTTATTTTTTCTGCTCCTCTCTCTCCTCCCACCCTCCACTCTCAAGTAGAACCCAGTATCTACTGTTCCCCTCTTTGTGTCCGTGAATTCTCATTACTTAGCTCCCACTTATAAATGAGAACATGGAGTATTTGGTTTTCTGTTTCTGTGTTAGTTTGCTAAGGATAATGGCCTTCAGTTCCGTCCATGTTCTTTAATAACCTGAAAAGCAAACAGATCTCTGCTTTTCAGAACATTTATCTCCCTTCCTTTAACACCCCTGCATTGCAAGAGTCATTTAGATCTTAACTAGGGGCATCTATTGGTCAGATAAAAAAGATGTGGGCTTAATGAATCAAGGTGGGTGGGCTGTTGCATTAACGATGTTTTCTGAGACATTGCTGTTGCTTACCCTCAAAGGACTTGGGCACCAATCCAGGCTTTTTCAGAGTATGATGAACCTGATGTGCTAAGGACAAACTGGATGTGCATTTTTGTTCTATTTTCATAACTGAGCGCTCTGCATCTTCAAAAACTGCTGATGAGCACAAGTAATTTTAGTTCAAATCTCCACTGACGAATTTTCTTCCTTTGGACGTCAGAGACATTGCATTACTATCCAAAAAGGACTTTGAGACTTCCTTAGAGCTCTTTGAAGTTTGTGTTAGGGTCCTGAAAATCCCTATGCCTC